AAAAAAAAAAAAAAAACTGATTATCTTAAAATCGAGATTTTTGAATTAGACAAAATACTACTACCTCAAATTCTTTTTAAATGTCATTTTGGCATTATTACATTAACAAAATAAATGTTGCTTAAGATATTTTGTACATATTTTTTCATTATTACCCTCATCTAACTAATAAATACACTACGTATTTTCATATTCACTCTTCATCTTTTCTCAAAACATTAATCTCTATCCTTATTAATGAGGGTTATTATTAGTAAAAAAAAAAAATTATTCTTAATAACTGTGCAACTTCTCAAATCGACACTTATTATGAATAGGAGGGACTAGGGAGTATCACATATATCTTTTACTAATTGCAACAGATTAATTGTTTATTAAAAAATTGAATTGCATAGAAATCGGGTTAAATTATGTACAATTCGACATGATAATTTTGTAAAAGTGATTTTTTTTTTCATTTTTTATTAAAAAAATATGTTTACTATAAAATCGGGAATTTCGAATTAGGCAAAATACTATAACATGTATGTTTACCTAATTGCAACATATCATGTTTATTAAAAAAATATTCGTATTGCATAGAAATCAGACCCAATTTTAAATTGAAAATTAAAATTTTAAAACCTCATATTATTTGGCTATTACTTTCTTTAGTTTGAATTTTTTTTAAACATAAAATAGAGTAAATAATATTAATTTGCGATTGAAAATGAAATCGGATAGGAACATCCTAAAATTTGGGTTTCGTTTAATCCTTTAGAATACAAATTTGAAATTAATTGCATACACTTGCAAAATAAATAATGATTGCATACATCTACAAAATATCATATATATTCTGCTAAATAATTAATTGAATTATTTACGTCTATCTCGAATCCTAATATAATATGTGGTGATAGACGATGTACCAAAAGACCAAACAAATAATGTTGTGTACAAGAATACGTTAAACAAATAATATTGTGTACAAGAATGCGTTTGATAATATATAAGTTACATTTTTGTTTATTCCAATACATGTGTTACGTTCTTTCAATCATCCAATCATTCAAATCTAAATGTTTACCTTAATAAAAGGAGCTCGTGCATCGCACTAGTTCTTTTGTAAAGAACTCGAGTAGAAAGTTGAATTTAAAGTGTTGCTATGTTGAAGGCATGTTAAGCACATATAATAATGCTAACTTATAACATACTTAATTTTCTCTCACCTCTCATTTCTCTCTTTAGCATCTCCCCCCTTCCATTTTCAAACCATATTCCCTTCCTTTTTCTGGCCACCCTCGCTTAGCTTCCCGCCGGCTTCCACCGTCGCCGGCGGTGAGCCGCTTGTCTTTTAGAGCGTCTCCAATGCTGTTTTACTTTAGCGCATTACGCTATATATTCTCTCCAACCCTGCGTCAAATGTCATCGCTACTCCAGAGTGATAACCAGTATTGCGCTGAATTCAGACCATCTCCAGTCCTTATCTCTACTCTAGTGCGAACTTTACTCTACTTTAGATAGAGTCAAACATTCTCCTCCAGCCTTTATCTCTACATTTTACTTACGTTAAATATATTATTATTTTTATTTATTTTATTTCAAATATATTATATTATATATATTTATATTTATATAAGTTTCTGTTACCCAAATAATAAAAATATGTTCATGATGTATAAAAATAATATACAAAAAATAATTACAAAATAATATATTTACAAATAATTTACCCAAATAATTAAAATTTACAAAAAATAATTAAAATACATCTATAAGTATAACCACCAAATAATTTAGCATTAAATATATTTACAAATACATATAGTACAATAAAATATCAATAATATACCAACAAAAAAGATAAAATATGCAGCGCAGGGACTATAGTGTATCGTTACATGTGGCGATGCACTGTGCATATATGTATAATAGTGCAGAATTATAGCGCAACATTGGACAATAATTCGGCGCACAACTCTAACGAAATCAAGATTGTGGCGCAGCGTTGGAGATACTCTCAGCGATAAATTATTCATCAAACGCTACATTTTTATAATTTTTTTTTTCTTATTATATTTTATGCTTATTTTATTAATACTTTTACCAACTGATATATGATATTATACTACACCTGGTTTAATGGAGAAAACGAATTATATTGGAAGATAAGCCCACGTATAGACTAAGCATCACGATATGGGTCAAGCCCAACTTGAGCCCACAAAGGTACACTCCCCCTATAAAAGGGGGGCTAAGGTACCTCATTCTCTCTATTCTCTATTCATTCCATACTACACTTTCTCTCTCTGGATCTGAGCACTGACTTAGGCATCGGAGGCCCAATGTCGGGGCCACCCCCGGCGTTGGGTTCTGCAGGTACGGAGGCCGTTCGAGTTGAAGGAGTCGGGTGAAATTCATTACACTCGTATTACCAACCTTTTAAATTGGATATCAAAATACTATTGAATTATATTGAATTGTTCGTAGATTTTAACAAACATAATAATAAAAATTTTATAAAAAAGAAACATTCAAATATAATTTTAATTTTTTTTCAACTAATTACATGGTTAAGCTTTTAGAAATAAATTAGTGTTGTTATTTTTTTTTTTTTTTTCAAAACGATAGGAAATCTCATAGAACTGAAAAAGAAAAATACAATGTCTTGGGCAAAGCCCAAATACAAACATGAGCAAAACTCTAATACCGAAGCTAATCCAGAGAGAACTACCAATACTAGTAGCCTAAACAATCACAGAATAAGAACACCAAAGGCAGAACACAGTCTGAGCCCTCTAGCGAACAACAAATACTGAAAAAATAATTAACCATTCTATTTAAATATATTTTTACTATTAGTTGAGTCTTTTTTATAAAATTTGTATTACTGACACCCCTGCCAGTAAGTCAAGCCACCAAAGACTATCACTTGAGTCTTTCCGAGACAAGCAAAGGGGGACTATCTCGCGGTCCGAGGAGGGTCGGCTTATGGTAAGTTTCCCTAAGCCCACTATTTCTACATTAGTTGGGTCGTATGACAATGCACTTATTTTAAAGTTTTTCTTCTTTGTCCCCTCTTTCCGGGATCTATCTTTTGGATTAGAAAAACTGAGTTTTAAGGGTAGACTCACATCTAAGTATCTTAACTACAACCACCACCTAGTGTTCCTTGAGTTGAGAGAGGACTATAATGTCGCTTGGATCAATACGTATTTCAACGCCCGTTGATGCTCTGGTCAGGTATTTAAATACACCTCTGATTTCTCTACAGCGACAGAGTCGCCTATTGTTCTAGTTTGGTGTTGCCTCCCAGGACTTCTCCCTCATCTTTTTGACCCCACTATCTTTTTCTCGATTGCCAGCTATATTGGCAATTCGATCGAGGTTGATGCCCCTATGACCAACCGATTGAGGCTATCCGTCGCACGGGTGTCCGTCGAGATAGACCTCCATGGTGAGCTCATCGAGGAGATTGAGCTCAACCGGGCAGGGAAGATCACCATACATAAGGTGATATATGAGAGCGTCTCACCTTTTTGTGCCCTCTTCAACCATATGGGGCACACTGCGTCTGACTGTTACACTAGAGGCAATAAGCCCGAACCATTTCTCCCCCCACGCCACCGTGTGGCTAGTTCGGGTCCCTCATCTATTCTGGGGGACCTAAAGGGGAAGGGTAAGGCCCCTGCCCAAGCGCTTGAGTCCTCGAAGGGACAAAAGGACAAGGGTAAGGCTGCCATTGAGACTCCCTAGCAGGTCAGAAAGGCTCCCGAGCCTAATTTTCTCAAGGGAGTGGCTTTGGACAGGCCTAAGTCTAGAGCTACGGGACTGTTCCCCCATCAGTCCTTCAGACGGCCCCGGTGACCGTTCACTCCTTCTTCTCTGTCCTTGCTTCAAAGACGGAGCATGAGCCTGCTTCAACGTCTATCCCCTAGGATATATATTCAATTCTCCCCTTGGTGATGATGACCTTTTGGACGACAAGATAGGTCCGTCTGTCTCTTTAGCGAGTACCTTTCATTTTCCCCCTTCTCCACCAGCTCCCACGGCACTGCGTCGCCTAGCGAGCCCTTCATCTCTATGAAGGACCCTCAGGATTTATAGTCTCCCCTCGCATCCATTTCCATAACCAATGTCTATGGAGGACCCTTCATCTCTATGAAGGACCCTCAGCTCACAACCAATGTCACTTCTCTGTCCACAGTTGAGGCCCTTTTGGCCCTGCCTGCCGATCTTCCCCCCTCCCCCCATCTGTTGGGGTCTACACCTAGACATGTCAAAACGGGTTGGCGGGGCAGGCCAACCCGCAACCCGCCATCTTGGCAGGCCTCTAAATAGCCAGCCTCGCCCAACACCGCCACGGCCTGTGGGCTAGGCGGGTTGGCCCGCTTATATTGATAAAAAAAAGACTGGACTGCTATTATTTGCCAAGTAAAAAATGGGTTCAGCTT